CTCCAAGCGCGCGGCGTGCGTCGCGGGCACAGCATGCCGCTAAATCGGAGAATAACCTTTAGTTGTTTTTTTGTCTCTACAACGTTGTTTTTATGTATTTGTTTCATTATTTTTTGTTATTCATGTTTGATCCATCCATGGTCGCGTCATAGATGATGTCGTATTTTATGTGGTAAACTCTCAGGGGACTTCGTTTTTGAGAAACTGAAAAAGCCACCTCATGCCGAGCCCGGTGTCCACATGAGTAGAGACTCTATCTGAAGCGCAGTGAGAGCTGCGGGACGTTTGTGGCATATATCTCTTGTATACAGGGCGTTATTGATGTATGGTGGTTGTATGATGATGGTGGTCTCACGCTACTTCTACCTCATTTGCTAAGGATCTCCAAAAGTTATCTGGAAGTAAGTGTTCCCGCTCATTACGAAGTATTAATCCTACAACGTTTTATCTACTTTAGGGCGCTAAGCTGCGCGTTTTTACTCTTCCAGCCTACACACATACCATGGAAGAAGAACAACATAGTATGGCCGCCCTTCTATCAAAGTTCCGAATAGATTTTGCTGACGTGTCCGTTATTCCGGATATTAGTCGTGAGCCTCAGCTTAAAACGTGAGTACATGGTATAGTTGCAGAATAAATAACATACAGGGTGCTTCACAAGTGTGAATGCAGTTTTGATCATTAATATCTCTCTTCCCAAAATTCTTTTGCCTGCTTTCAGGCGTCTGTTTGTATAGCTGGCTTCAATCAGGTTTACAGTATGAAGCAGATTGCAGATTGCTGTTTATTACTGTAGGATTACAGTAAAAACTGTGAAGAGATTCTAGCCGTTTAGGGCAGTGTCCGAGCAAAAAGTCGATTTTGGGACTTTGCGTTTACCCAGGCCTATTCGTTATGCTGAATCCGAAAATCACTTTGGAGCACGAAAACGGCGAACAAAAGCTCCAAAGCAAAGGGAAACAACATACGGCCTGGCCTTCCCTGTGTGAATTCGTGCTCCCAGCTTCCTGAGCGATCTCGATTCCGCTAGTTGCCCTGACTTGATATTAAAACCGAGAAGTATCTCTAGTATATTCGAGCGTAAATTCACGGCGAGGAAGAACCGGTCCCACCTGCTGAATTCTCTCCTGCTTTGCAGTCCTTTTCTGCCGTTTCCGTGCTCTCCAATGTGGATGTTTGGATTACGCATAGAGATTAAGCCCAGATAAGCACAGAATCTCAAAATCAACACTCGGACACTGCCGTTAAAGGCAGTGTCCGGGCAAAAACACGATTTTGAGATTT